AAGCATTGTGAGAGAGACCCCCCCCAGATCCACTTTACGGTCTGTTTCTGTTGCTCCCCTCTTGAAGTATTTCTAGCAGGACTACCTGATTCTGTAATATCTTTGTTCCCTACATCCGTCTGGTAAACTCACAAGATTCATTTTTCTCGCCATGCACATGTATACACAACCCAAACAAGACTTTTGTTTCTCTGTGTCATATTATATATGTGGGTATATGAATAATTCTGTATTTATTTATTTATGTTTGTCGTATTTATGTAGTGTATATTGGAGGTGGTGACCCTTTGAGAGCTGTTTGCAATGAAATAACTGTCAGGAAATTTTTTCTTAGTTCTAAGTTGATTCTCTCTGATTAATTTCCATCCATTTCTTTTCATTCTATCTTCAGGTGGCTTTGGAGAATAAGTTGACCCTCTCTTCTTTGTGGCAGCCCCTCAAATACTAGAATACTGTTATCATGTCACCCCCTAGTCCTTTTTTTCATTAACTAGACATAACCAATTCCTGAAACCATTCTTCATATATTTTAGCTTCCAATTCTCTTTGTTGGTCTTTTCTTTTTAGAGTCTCAACATATATTTTTATATTATGGTGACCCAAACTAGGTGCAAGTGTGGTCTTACCAAGGCATTATGAAGTGGAATTGTCACATCATGTGATCTTTTATTAATGCAACCTATAACTGTATTGGCTCTTTTGGCAACTATAGCACACTTCTATCTCATATTTAAGTGACTGTTCACTAGGACACCAAGATCCCTCTCGCAGTTACTAGTGTTAAGCCAGGTACCACCTATTCTACTGTTTTTTCTTGCCTAAATATAGAACCTTACTTTTATCATTATTGATTTTCATTTTCTTAGATAGGCCTCAGTGTTCAAATCTGTAAAGATTCTTCTATTTTTTTTAAGCCTATGTTCTGGGGCATTGGCTATTCCTGCCAGCTTCATCTGCAAATTTGACAAGTTCCCCTTCTATCCCCTCCTCTAAATCATTTGTAAAGATATTGAAGAGTACTGGGCCTAAGACAGAGCCTTGGAGTATGGCACTTCTCTCCACGTAGAGGTAGATGCAACATTCCACCACAGTTTATTACTGTGGGATATCCATCCATGATGTAAGCACATTGCATACAATAATAGATGACAGGAAAGCGAAACGATTTAAGAGAAATCTTCCCTTTATTGATGCTAATGATATATTCACTGATTTATTGATATTACCAAGAGTTGGTAAAGAACTTTGTTAAAATGCCATTGCTGCCTAATTTGCTGAAATGTCAGAAAGTTATTTGGGCTGCTCTGTGTCAATAATTTTATTGAGAGAGAGAAGAAAAATGAGAGCTTTTCAAATGATTATTAGTGGAATGAGACATTTATCACAGCCATCGGGGGTCAAAAATTTAAAAGGAATTACTCTCTACTGCAATTTTCTTCTTTTCATCGCTTGAGTGGCTTGGCTGTTCTATGAGATGATCTTTCTCCTCCTCCATTTGTTAGAAATGAGCCAAACATGAGTTCAATATAATAGCTTTAGATACTGTGTGGAGAGAACAAGCAGATCTGTCTGGCAATACTTTAAGATTAAAAAAAGAAGGAACATCTCACAGTACTATGCTATTTCATCTTCATTTCCTTCCACGTGCCTTAATTCTGTGCTTGAAAGAGTTTTCCTAAACACAGTGCTAAATATAGTTATAATGTCTACTTAGTAGAATTAGAACAATTGCCATACTTTTTATATCATTCATCACCAGGGCCAAATCTGTCACAGCAACAACAAAAGATCTGCTGTCATTTTTAGTTTGGAATGTTTATTAAATTTGGGGGGGAGGCAGGGCATTTTAGGACAATCAATGTACAGTTAAAACAAAGTGCAGCCTAACTCTTCAAGGCACTTTTTCATGCAACTTGGTTTATATGAATTATGTTTACAATAAATATTTGAAAATAGAGCACAGAAAACAGATATGCCCATTGATTTCCAGAATACTTTTAATTCACTTCTTTATAGCAGACATTTACTACTGATTTCTGGAGATAAAACACTTTTAAAAATTGAATTGTTTCATCTGTTTTAGCTTTCTTGAGTCAACTACAGATGGTCCTCATTTAATGACCACTTGTTTGGCAACCTTTCAAACTTATGACAATACTGAAAGACTGTTAGCTACTAGCAGATCTCATATTTACAAACACTGCAGCATCCCTCTGGTCATGTGATCTTTATATCTATCTCTGCTGGTTTCTCACAAATCAATGGGAAAGCAAGCAAGAAGTCAGAACTTGCTGTCATGTGATATCCTCACTTAATAAACCCCACAATTCTTGCTAAATGGACCTGCTGGAACTGGCATCGCAAAAAGCATGGCCACATTTTTTTATTTATGATCATATTGCCAAGCAACAGAGTTTCCAGTCAAAATCTACAGACACCTAGACTTACCACACTCATGATCCAACTACTAGGGTAATGCTAGCTGAAAATAAAAAAAATTCAAACACAATATCTGAAAGACATCAAAGAACAGAACAGAATAGGATAGGATACTTTCTTTGGCCAAATGTGATTAGACACACAAATAATTTATCTCTGGTGCATCAGAGATTTTTTTTTTAGCTCACTCATTTTACTTTAGGTGTTAGATTTATATCTCATCCTTCATCCATGAGGTCAAGGCAGCAGGCATTCTGTTCAATGTTCAAAAAGATGAGACTTGTTCAATCTCTTAACTGTTCTAGGAATCTGCAGAGCAAACAGTTCTGTGAAGCCATGGGCAGAGCTACAGAAACTTGCTGACTAAATTTATAAAATATGTTAGACCATAACATAGGGTTAAAAACGCCCACAATTTTTGCATTTACCTAACACAAACAGCCATATTATAAGCCTGCTAAGTTCCAAGAGGCTAAACAGGCCCCAAACTGACTTATCTCTTTTCGAACATATCAATAGTACAACCCTGCTTAGTAAATTAACATATTATATATTATATATATGTTATATAATATATATATGCTGGAAAATTTGCATAAGAATACGACTCCTGGGCATGTCTATGGTACAAATAAAATACGAACACCAGGAGAGTATAAATATAAAAATATACTTTACTAAAAGCTGCCAAGCTTTCGTTTACTGGCTCCTTAGCCCTGATGATGTTTGGAGTTTCCAAACGAAAGCTTGGCAGCTTTTAGTAAAGTATATTTTTATATTTATACTCTCCTGGTGTTCGTATTTTATTTGTACCATATATATATATATATATATATATATATATATATATATATATATATATATATATAGGTCTTTGGTTGTTCGGGTTTTCTCCCGCGTAAAATTGGAAGTGTCTTGGCAACGTTTCGACGAAGTCACATTCGTCATCTTCAGGCTGGTGTTTTTAGCTTCTTGCTTTGAGCAGCAAGAATATATATATATTATATATATATATATATATATATATATATATATATATATATATATATATATAATTTATTCTGTTCTTTTCTAAGGCACCACAGGCTCATACGTAATCTGGTAGCACACTCATACGGGAGACCTGTCTTGTGCATTCAGATTCATGCCTGGAATTTCATAGTGAACTTAAATGGTTTAAATTCAATCCTACAGAATGGAAAAATAGATTCCAACAAGCCACAGAATTCTGTATTGGTATTGTTCTGATAATTTAAATTGTCTATTTTTCAGAAAAACTGGAAATGTTACTTAAGAGGTTATTCCACCAGCTACCATTCTGTATTTTCAGCAAAGCTTTATGTGAATGAATTGTATACGTTATTCTAGCAGAATATTATCCCACTTTAATATTAAAGAAAGTGTCCAAAGGAAATACCTAGGATTCTCATTTCCATTAGGAAGTACTTAATTTCTTAGCATATTCAGTTTAGAATATTATTAGCACAAAAATATAATCTGAAACATGTTATAGAAACCAGACCCCAATAATAATCTACCTTGCATCAGAGCAGTTTAACATACAGGTGTGCATCAATAAAGCAATTTTAAAAAATGTTTTCTACCTTAAAAAGTTCCTTAGGTCCTTATGCAGAATACAAAACTGTTAATTTTAATACTGAGGCCTGAAATTTTGCAATCCATTAGAAGCTACTTGGACATGAAATTGAACAGAATATTCATTTTCTGAAGTTAAAAAAAAGACATAGCATAACCTCATCAAAATATGCTACTTTGCTCTATTTCAAAATTGGTTTGTACCTATCACGAGGCTTTATTTGTTTGTTTGTTTTATTTCGCTTTTATTATTTTTACAAATTACACAAGGGGCAAACACATACAACACACCATCCTCCTCCTATTTTCCCCACAACAACCATCCTGTGAGGTGGGTTGAGCTGAGGCGGGATTTAAATTCACTATCTCTTTCTTTCTAGCCTGGTGCCTTAACCACTAGACCAAAATTGTTCTGTAAGAAACAGACCTGAAACCCTTCTGGTATGTAAAACTACTGACACAGTTCTGTAGATCTTAGTGTAAAACTCACAACTGTGTTATGCATGCTGCAAAACTTAGTGACAATACACTATAAATTATATTTTATATATTATTTAATGTTTTTTGCTGCCTGGTATATCTTTCCTTCAACCATATTTTATAGTTGAATCTGGGGTTAAATTTACTCCAAATTTATATTTTAAAAATCTGTATCAAGTGAAATATAAAATTAGTTATGCAAAAGACTATAAAACTACATGTTGACTTTATACATAGAATGCGATCACGAGTTTAATATAGGGATTGATAAAGGGCAGTCTTGGGCTACATGCAATTTTTTAAACTTTTCTTTGCCTTGCTAGATAATATTTCCAAAAGGCATCAGACACTTTTACAGCATTTGAGAGGGAAACATGAATATATATACATATATAAGTTTCGTCAACAAATAACAATAAAGAATATTAATCCCCTAAAGAAAAGGAAAATTAAGGAAAAAAATAAAAAATGTTGGATTTACTCACATAGATAAGTTAGTCAGATCCATTTTATGTATTCTTCTAACTTTTGCAATGCTTAATATTAATTGCAAGCCTTGAATATCCAACGATTCTTCATCCACAGAAATACCAAGCATCTGTGACCCTTTAGAGAAGATTATCTAATCAATTCTGCTATCCTTAAACTATGCAAAAATTCTATAGCTACTGAGGCGGAATTAGATCCTAGCATACTGTTGAAAAGTGTCCATCAGCTGGATATAAGAATCTTATATTGGTGAATATAAGAATATTCCATTGTGTTTCCTTGAGATTTTAATTTGCCTTTTATGGATTCAACACTATGGAAAAATATATTCAAATTTTAACATTTCTGGACAGCTTCAATCAATTCATTTCTGATTAAAAACTGAATATCTGAACACCTAACAGATGACTGGATGAGCAATGTTGTTTATTCATAAGAATCTCTCTGTGGGCATCTGTCAAGACTTTCATTTTTCAGTTTTCTGTTGCTCAGATCTTATTGGTAAAAAAACAGAAAAGTGCTATAAAAATGGTAAAAGCAATAAAGGGTGGGGGAATGGGGAAAAAAGCATAGTTATGCTTTGCCTCTCCAACCCACCCTTACAAAGAGAAAAGATTTGGCTTCCTCTCTAGAAGCCATGGTAGAACTGGTGATTAGCTCTAAATCGCTAGCCCAAGAATACAGTCTGGATATGGGCAGCGTATACTTTGTACTTCCTCAGTACCTAACAACAACAAAAAGATATCACATACTTACAGGATTATCAGCCATTCCAATCAAGTGACCCTGCCACAAACAAGAGAGTGGTCAAGTTATTCTTCAAAGCACCTGAAGGCAGGACAAGAAGCAACGATAGAAACTAATTAAGGAGAGAAGCAGCACAGAACTAAGGAGAAATTTCCTGACAGTGGGAACAATTAATTGGTGCAATGGCTTATCTCCAGAACTTGTGGATGCTCCAACACTAGAGATTTTTAAGAAGAGATTGGACAACCATTTGTCTGGAACGGTATAGGATCTCCTGCTTGAGCAGGCAGTTGGACTAGAAGACCTCAAAGGTCTTTTCCAATTCTGCTGTTCTGTTACGTCTCCAATACGTAAGTGGGAGTAATACAGCACAAATAGGGACTTGCTAATTTTAGATATGATGTTGGCCACTAATGTAAATGATTTACATTATCACATTAAGAGCCCTGATAACGCAGATTATATGGTTGTCCAGGATCTCTGACTTCTCCACTTCAAGATAAATGGGTCTAACCCCTATGATTATCATCCAAACTGAAGAGAGACTTCACTTCTATTAGCAGCAATGTATCATGAAAATATGTTTTAAAAGTGATTGCAAAAACCTTATTGTCCAATTTCAGTCGACAACATTTGGATAATTGAACTAAACAGAATTACATTTGATTAGTGTTTAGAACAGTGGTTCTTAACCTGTGAGTCGCAACCCCTTTGAGGGTCGAACAACCCTTTCACAGGGGTCACCTAAGACCATCGGAAAACATATTTCCGATGGTCTTAGGAACTGAGACACCGCTCCTCTATCCATCTCCAGGCGGATAAAAACAACACAGAGAATGGTAAGACTTAAAGCATCAAAGGAGCAACTCCCCACCTCTCAGGTAGAGCTAGTAAGAGCCAACGACTCAGCCCGCCTTCTCCCAGCCTTTTCACCAATCAGAAGCCGCGGCCTAGACATTGGCATTTGTGACATATCTTCCCGGGGAATCTGTGAAGCCAGCGGAGCTGCTACAGATCGCGCTTGTGTGCAGTCACTCATGCCTCGGTAGAAGAGGGGAGACGGGCTGGCGGGGAGTTAAGAGGGGGTGAGGCAGAAGGAGGAGGAGGAAGGAGGGAGGTTTTTAGCTGTGGAATCAGCATGCCGGAGGGCTTTGCCGTGGGGCTGGGTTCCTTTTGTATTTTGATTCCCTCCCTTTTGGAAGGAGGAATGGACATTTTATGATCTGGGGAAAAAAAATCTGGTGTCTGTGAATAAAAGTGCTGGCAATCATCTTTTCTTTCCGCCAGCTTGCCTTGATGCATTCAGTGCAATTGCTTTTTTAAATAGTGCTTTTGGATTGTATTTTTTTTAAAATCTTAGCCTTTTTATTAAAAAAACATGGAAAGCGCATTCTTAGAGCAAGGCGCAGACTTGGTACCTCTCTCTCTCTCTCTCCCGTGCGGCCCCCCCAATCCCTGGGTATTTTTATTTTTGGTTGGCAAAATCGGATCCGCAGGTGTTAAAAATGAATAGTGGCTTGCGAGGGAGGGGGGCTGCTGTGGGCAGTAGAAGACAGTCTGGTGCATCCAAGGTATTGTTCACTCGCTCACCTCCTTTCTGTTGAACCCCCCGGTCTAGATCGGAGTTGCTGCTTTGCGCGGGTATGAGCCAGGATGGCCATTCGTGGGGTTGGTCTCTGCCCTTGCGTGTGTGTGGGGGGGTGCAAGCACCTTAATTGAGTCTCCCCACCCCCATCCGTGGGATTTTCTTTGGGGTTGCTAGGAGCTGCGCTTAAACTCAGAATCGCAAGCAAAGAGAAGGGAGTTGGCGTGGGCAAGAAAGCCAGCAAGCCAGCCCGAATTGCGAGCTTCCCTTCGCCTTTTTCATCATGAATCGGGAGCAAGCCAACCTCGGGATTTTCCCTCCTCCTGCCTTTAAACGGCTTCCTTTTATTCTGCCTCCTTCCTGGTCGGGATCCAAAGGCGAGGCTCCACTGCAAGAAATTGTTAGGAAAAAGAAAATGCATTGAGAGAGGGACTTGTCAGAAAACATTTAGATGAGAATCAAGTACGCTCAGTGGAAAGTGAAAATGTTGGAAGGAGGGAATGAAATAGCTGGAATCTGGGACAGCTGTAAAGCCATGTCCTTCTGTTTTGGGAAACTTCCATGAAAAAGTAGTCAGGTAACCCCTCACTTCATCCACAAAATGTTACAGGGGTTCTGATTTTTTTATTTATAACCCCTTTCCTTTCTTCCATTCTCTTGCTGCTTTTCCTTCAATTGGTCATATGATCAGAATGTGGATGCTTGGCAACTGGCCTGTATTTATGATGGTTGCAGTATCCCAGGGTCATGTGATTATTTTTAGCAATCTTTTGACAAGCAAAGTCAATGGGGAAGCCAGATTCATTTAACAACTGTGTTCCTAACTTAATAACGGCAGTGATTCACTTAACAATTGCAGCAAGAAAGGTTGTAAAATGGGTGCAACTCACTTAACAACTGCCTTGCTTAGTCACAGAAATGTTGGGGTCAGTCGTGGTCGTAAGTTGAGGACTACCTGTAGTTGTGGAATTCCTTTTGTTGGATGGTTCTATCTTCTAGAGTCTACTCTAGAGTCTGATCCTGCATATCAGATATTTACATTATGGTTCATAACAGTAGCAAAATTACAGTTATGAAGTAGCAACGAAAATAGTTTTATGGTTGGGGGTCACCATAACATGAGGAATTGTATTAAAGAGTCTCAACATTAGGAAGGTTGAGAACCACTGGTTTAGAAGAAAAGTCTGCAGTGATATTTCAGGCAGTAATAAAAAAACAGTTTGGAAGAGAGCAATGGCAAACCACTCCTGTAGATTCCCTGAAAAATTTACATAAAGCTGTTGTTGTTGTTAATTGTGAAGACGTTTCTGACCCATCGCGACCCCATGGACAATGTTCCTCCAGGTCTTCCTGTCCTCTACCATTTTCTGGAGTCCATTTAAGTTCACACCTACTGCTTCAGTGACTCCATCCAGCCATCTCATTCTCTGTCGTCCCCTTCTTCTATTGCCCTCAATCTTTCCCAGCATTAGGCCCTTCTCCAGTGATTCCTTCCTTCTCATTAGGTGGCCAAAATATTTGAGTTTCAACTTCAGGATCTGGCCTTCTAAAGAGCAGTCGGGGTTGATCTCTTCTAGGACTGACCGGTTTGAACGCCTTGCAGTCCAAGGGACTCGCAGGAGTCTTCTCCAGCACAATAGTTCAAAGGCCTCAATTCTTTGGCGCTCAGCCTTTCTTATGGTCCAACTTTCACAGCCATACATTGCAACTGGGAAAACCATGGCCTGGACTATACGCACTTTTGTTGGCAGGGTGATGTCTCTGCTTTTTAGTATGCTGTCTAGATTTGCCATAGCTTTCCTCCCCAGGAGCAAGCGTCTTTTAATTTCTTGGCTGCAGTCCCCATCTGAGGTGATCTTGGAGCCCAGAAAAATAAAATCTGTCACTACCTCCATTTCTTCCCCATCTATTTGCCAGGAATTGAGAGGGCCGGATGCCATGATTTTGGTTTTCTTAATGTTGAGTTTCAAGCCAACTTTTGCACTCTCCTTCTTCACCCGCATCAAGAGGCTCTTTAGTTCCTCTTCACTTTCTGCCATTAGAGTGGTATCATCATAAAGCTACTAAGAGTTAAAATCATCTTGAAAAAAATTACCTTTAAAGTATAGCAAACATAAAATTGCAGCCACTGAAAATCCATCTTAGATAGGCCAGTGCTGTCCACATCCTGCAAACCAGTAAGCCGGGCTGGGGGGGGGGGAATCTGATTTCTCTCAATTTAATCCTGATTTATACTCACAGAATCTTCCTATTTATTGAATAGAATGAAAACCATGCTAGTTACATAGCAGATAGTTGGCACAGCATACATTCTGAAACATTCTGATCATTTTTTCAAGCAAGTCTCATTTCTGAATCATTTGTGAAGTATGAAAAAAGGCATGCACATTTTTATCCCTGCTTAAATATCTCAACATCTTAAACTTAACATAAAAAACAACTTAAGAGACCAAGAGAACACACATTTTTCATTACTTTCTTACCAAAATGTTATCAGTCACTTTTGAATTTTGAAAGAATTCTATTACTACAGTATATATAATTATACAGCCTTAGTGTATGTTTAGGTATGTACACTATGGGTATATGATAGCTAGATATATTATAGAATTTATATATATTTACAGCTTGAAAGCCTATTGTCAGGTATAAATGTTTTAAATAATTCTAATAAGAATTCTAATAAGAACAGGGATTATTATTTTTTTCTTATTGTACATTTTTGTATTCATTTCTATTGGAAAGCTGCATCATAGAGTTGCAATATTTTGGGCACAATTTATGTCTGGTTTGCTAATTTGTTCTGAAGTATAACTTTAGTTGGTTCACATCAAAATATGATCTGAATTCATTTGATTCCATCTGTAATAATCTAGTTTTCATAAATGACAGCCCTTTCCTGTGTTTACCACTGAATAAAAATTTCATTTCAATAATACATGTCTCAGATGGCAATTATCAAATTAACAATGAATCCAATCCTGTATGCCATGATCCAAGATAGCATATCAAGTTTACTCTATAAAAATCAATTACACTTCACTTCAGGTTTACTCAACTTGTAACCCCTCCCCCCATAAATTGGATCAGCATAATAGAAAATGTGTAGGCTGTGTAGAAGGAGAAATGTATGTATGGAATAAAGAAACCTGGATGATTAGCATCATATTCCTGAGACTGTAATGTTCCATGGCTTTATCCTGAGCTTGTTGAATTAAAGAAGAGATGGTCCAGAAGGACAGCACTTATAACAAAGAATAATTGTTACAAATATTCAGGGATCCATTTATTGTAGCCATGTACTGATACAGAAGGCAAGATCAACAGGACATATACTATACCAACAGAGGCCCTTGGCTGCTTTCAAGCATTCCTGGGGTTAACAGATAATTGACAAATACCAAGAAAGCAGGAGTGTTAATCAGTAATATCAAAGAAATGAAAAGTGCCAAGATTTCTTAAACAACTAGCTTGAATTTAAAGGTCTTTCACAGTAATTGATTTTTCAATTTGAAGGGGAAAAGAAGTTCCTCTAGGCAATATTTTTGTTGAATGGGAAAAACAGCACATTCTCAACAAGTAGATTACAATATTTTCTCACTGAGAAAATTTGATCCCTCTTTTACCCACCAGCTACATCTGTTGCAACTGGGATTGGTGGCATGTGGTTGCATGCAAATTAGAAAAATGGTGACAATATCACTTGCAATAAACTACTTTCATCCTATACCAGTGGTGGCAAACCTATGGCATGCATGCCAGAGGCAGCACTCAGAGCCCTCTCTGTGGGCACATGTGCTATTGCCCCAGTCCTCCCTCCGCGGCCCCCTCCTCACCAGCAGCCTCCCCTGCAGGAGAGTCACCCCCGAGCATGGTTCGTGCAGAGCAGCGCAGGCAAGGACAGGGCAGCTGGGCAGCAGGGACAAGACTCCGCCCTCACACCCTATTGCGTGCAGTTGATGCTGCGGGGCACCGACAGAGGGCGTGGCTGCCATGACGCTGCTGGGCCACCTGGGCAGGTGGTGGGTGCCTCTGTGGGTGGGTAGGGTGGAGGGTGGGGTGGAGGAGGGTGGGGAATGGGGCAGGTCCTTGTTTTTGGGTACTCGCTCTCTAAAAGGTTTGCCATCACTGTCCTATACCCATCAAACTTTACAAGTTAACTGCTTTGTTGATGTTCGAATAATAAAGGAGAAATCTGTCCATACTGACTTTGTTTCCTGCTTATTTTAGTCTAAGTCAGGAGTTCTCAATCTTTTCTTCACCATGGACCCCCTCTGAATACTTTTTGTGGCCACAGACCATGGCCATGGATTCCCAATTCAAGGTTTAAATCACAACTTTTCTTCAAGCCTTCACAGATTACCCCCTGTGAGAACATCATAGCCCAGTGGTGGCGAACCTATGGCACGTGTGCCAGAGGTGGCACTCAGAGCCCTCTCTGTGGACACGCATGCTGCCTCTGCCAGCAGCTTGCACAGGTCCATTAGGTTGCCACCGCTGCCCAGAGCGGCAGCTCCACCTAGCACAAAGGAGGTGAAGTAGCCAGCTAGCAAGTAGGTGGTAGAGCACACCCACACCAAGCATGCCAAAGGCCACCCCAAGCAGGGAAAGCCAGATCCCCATCGGCGCCATGGTCCCCCAGTCCCAGCTAGGATTGCTTGCCTCCCCCACATCTATGCTGGGCCTCCTGCCCACCATCCCACCCACCAGAGATCCCCTGGATCTCCCTCAACCCTGCCCGGCCCCCACAGACAATCCCCCCATGAGCAACATCAAGGTGGCCATGCCCACCCCAGCCACACCCACCCAGTCTTCCATGACAATTGCAGCTATGCCCACCCAGTGGGCCACGCCTACCCAGTGGGCCACGCCCCCATGCCCCCCCTGAGGGCACTACAATGCTGATGTGGCCGTGGCACTTTGCAATAAATAAGTAGGTTTTGGGTTGTGGTTTGGGCACTCAGTCTCTAAAAGGTTCGCCATCACTGTCATAGCCCCTCAGAGGTCCGCAGACCATAGATTGAAAGCCACTTGTCTAAGTTAAGCAGATGTCTTTTTCTCATTCTTTACTGGGAAAAGTCATTCAAATAAATAGTTTGCATACTGAAGACTACTGCAATAATATCAAGGAAGGGCATTAATGTAATTTTATAAAAAGGAATTTATTGGCTTTCAATTGTTATTTCATCTTAGGTTATACACATTTACTGTTTATTTACTGAAATCAATTCAGCTCCTTACATTCTTTTACTAAATTCTTTCTGAAGTGTGTGTGTATTCAAATAATATATTATGTAAATCAGTTACTAAATTTATCTAAAATCTATATCTAATACACATAGTTTTCAAGACTTCAAGTGATGACAGCCTGTTGAAATAGCTGAAGAC